TTTAGTAGTCCTGTGTATTGTGTAATAAGCTATTTTTGGTTCTTTAATAAAACAAGCACATGTTTGCAGAGAAATTCAAAGATGTGCATGTAGTTAAATACTTCATTGAGCCAGTGTGATTGACTAAGATCTACCCCTAATTTAGTGTGGACTTGAATCCCATTTGGGAATCAACTGGGAATATTTGATTGATTATTGATATTTAGTGAAGTAAGGTCCAGAATGGTTTTTGTATTAGAATAGCTATTAGTACTTATATTATGCTTTATATGTCCCTGTTAATAGCGTTTTTTCACAATAGTGGAAAGTAAGGAAAAATATTCATAAGCAAGCTTATAATTATTAAGGAATCAATATATATTTTTTAATTTAAACTGTGGGCTTAAAATATATCTAATATTAACCTGTAACTTTTCAACAGTAGTATTTAGTTTGCTGAGCGTCGCCTCGTATGTCTGAGTGCCGCAAGCCTTGAACATCTGGTCTTCGGCCGCTGTCAGCTCGTTGCGGCGTTCCGTCAACAGCTCGCGCACGTGTTTCCTTTCTGTTTCCAAACTTGTAAGCTAGGAACAAAATTAAATTATACATTTTATGTGATTTATTTTGTATGGGGACATAACATTTAACTTTATTTTGACCAAAAGTAGTAACAGACAGATTATTTGATATTTTGACTATAAATCCAAGATGGCCAACACAAAAATGTCAGATCCTTTTAATAACACGCATTAAAATGGAAATTCATTATTACAATATTTGGTTTATTTCAAATTAAATCTAATAGTCATAAAATAGATAAATTAACTTACATTTGTATGTTTTTCTTTTAATTTCTTTTTAACAGAATCAACTTCATCACGTAATTCGTATTCCAATTTGTTAATGGCCATAGCATAACCTTTGTCCGGCATTGTACCGAGCAGATCACTGATGACACTGCGATGTTTGTTCTTCAATACATTCATCTGCTTCTCTTTTTGTTTTAATGAATCTTCTATCATATCACGCTCTTTTAATTTGGCGCTTTGCTTTTGTAATTGATTGATCTGAAAATTTACATTACAATAATGTTTTTTACTAAAAGAAATTAACAACAATAACATAAATAAAATAAATAAATACATAGAAAATATGCACCATAGTATTTATTCGTTCACCAGCTCACTATACGTCCCCACAGAGGGGCTCGGAGCCTACAATAAATCAAGAGTGACTAGGCCATAGTCAACCACGCTGGCCATGTGTGGATTGGTTGACTTCACACATATTGTTGAATTTCTTCTCAGATATGTGCAGGAGGATAAATGTACATATGTAAATCGGAAATCGAACACATGGTGGGATTCGAACCCAGGACCTACAGATTGCAAGTTAAGTGCTTGACCCCTGAGCCACCGACGCTCTAGTATTTATTATTTGACAAAAATTTTTTTGATAGTTTGTTATAGCCCTAATTTGATTCCAAATACGGCCTAAATGGTAATTGGTTAATAACAAAAATTTTTTTAGAAAATAACTACTGATATTATTGCAATCTTTAACCCAGGAAGATTCCAAGAAAGCATTTTTTTTAAATGCAAATTAAATAATATGTACTTATAATACCTTTTCATTTAATTCTTCAAGTTCCTGTTCACTCTTTTCCATTAAAGCTTCATCTTCATTAATCGACTTTTGACATTCCTCCGGATTCAACTCGTTCAGAACTTCCTGATAATCCCTGAAACAATTATTTAAGCTTATTTACATTATCAATAACAGGGTTTTCCTTTTTTTACCAATTCATTAAATGTCAGATTACAATTGGACTAGCAATCATAGCATGGCATACTATATTTATTTGAAAAAAAATTGATGACACATTTTATTAATTTTTTTGAATATTCTATGAATCTGACTTACTCTTCAGCTGTATTCATTTTCTTTTCCAAAAAATCTAATCGTACTTTAGACTTATTTGTGTCGGTGATTCCTTTTTCCACTTTGGTGATTTCTTTTTTTATATTTTGTATATCAGATTCTTTGTTACTTATTTTTTGTTTGTGACGAGACTGAAATTAAAAAAATTTGCTTATATAGAAATATTAAAGCACATATGTTATTAATTAAGATTTTTAAATTCGTGCAGACAACAGTTAGTAGAATAATATACATACCAATGCGTCACGACACGTATCTACGTCAGCTTGTAGTTTGTTCTCTTCGGTATCAGCTTCTCTCTTTTTCTCACTTAGTTCCGTTTGCAGGCTTTTTATTTTTTCCTTTATAGCCTCTCCCACTTTCTCTGCATCTTCATTGCTTTCAATTTTCTCTATCTCTATTTCTAGAATACAAATAAAATAAGAGGTACAGAAACAATATAAGTACTAGAACATGACTACAATGTTACATTAAAGTTATTAGGACATGTCACTAATGGATTGTGAACTTAAGCAATTCATAATCATACCAGGAAAATTACAAGCTAATCTATAGAGAATTAAAACTTCAAATTAAAAATAATTCTTTCATTTTATATAAAAATATTTGGCAAAGTTTATTTTTTTTATTACCAGCCAGTTTAGCAGTGTTTGCTATCATAGTATTCTTCTTATCAATTTTATCTTGGTTCTGACTTTCCAATAGTATTAATTCTTTAAACTTCATTTCATTTGACGTTTTTTCATTGGCAATCTTTTCCTCCTCTATATTGAATTTGTTATTTTGCTTGTATGAATTATCCAAGTCTTCCTTCTTTGTTTTGGCAGTTGTCGCGTAATTGGCTAAAATAAAAAAAAACATGTGTATTCAAACTAGAAATTTCTATCTAAGTTAATTAACACAGTTCCTTCTATTAGTAGCGGAAATCAGTGTTATTATATGCTGGCAATAGCAAGAAGAATCTTTTTTTATTTAAAAAATGCAGTATATTAGTGACTATCTTACATATATTTTTCTCCAGCTCAGCTAGTGGTCCTTCAAATAAGGTGGTAATGGCAGTTTTCAATTCTTGTTCCTGAGTTGTGAAATGCTCTAATCTACAAAGAATAATAAGATTTTAATTTTTTAATTTTTTTTATCATATAGTAAATTAAAGCCAGTCTTATGTTACTTTGTTTTAATTTTTTCTCTTTTGGTTTCAATTGTCACTAAATTTTTCTGCACTGTTTCAATGGCTTTAATTTTTTCTGCAAGCGGTTTAATTTCTTGTTCAAGTTCAGCCACCCTGATTTCAGCTTCAGAGATTTTAGATTCAGTATTTACAACATCTAATTTTTTCTTATCCAAATTTTCTTTCTTATCTGTTAAATTTGCCACTTTCTGTTCTGAAAAATTAAAAAAATATATTTTTGCAATGTTTATAAAATGATTATTAATTAAATAACATGAACGAAATCCCGTAAGTTTACCTAATACTTTTATTTCTGTTTCATATTCTTTCCTTATTTTTCTCAATCGTTCAAAACAGTCACTGTATTTGTCTGCTTCAAATATTTCATCAAAACGTTCCTTTACTTTTTTCCCCTCATCAAGTGGCCAGCTAGAATCTTCTTGATGACAAAATATTACTGAATTCATTATTGCTTTTGATACTCCTGTAATTAGTAGAAAACCACATTATAAAACATAGTTACAGAACATATTATTGGAAAATTTGAGTTTGTAGGTCCAATGACCTAAAGTTCAATAACTTTTGGTGCTTAAGTTATAAAAAAGTTTACCCTGTCTTTGACATTTTAATTGCTTCAATATTATTGGTACAACTACACAACAGTAAGTAATAAATATTTACCTAATTGTTCATACATCATGGAGTCTAAATCGGCACATCTTGATGAAATATCCTTAGTTTTTCCTTTCTCATCAATCACTGACAGAAATGAATCTAATGTCTGAAATTTACTTTTCTTCTTCTGTAGCGCTGTAACTTTCATAGATCTTGCTATTTCCAATTGTTCATCTTTTGCATTTACAATCTATTGCATAAGATTAAAACTGTTTTTAAAATAAAAGTTTTAATATGTTAGATAATCAATCAGAGCTCAATTTATTTCCCTTACAACACACAAATATTTGATGTTCACAATTTTTAAGATAATTGTGGCCACTTAGCACCAAGTTAACAGGTTTTCATTTGAAATAAGTTACAAAATGAAACTTTTTTTAAATATAAGGTTTGATTGTTTCAAAATATATCACATCATATTCTCATTATTTCTATTATATTTGAGTACAGATGTGGCTATAGTATATTTGATATAGGTGTTTACTTAGGAAATGTTTTGTTACCTTTAATTTGACTTGTCCTAACACTTCTGTTGATCGGTTAACTTTTGCATCGTGGACAAAACAATCGTTACGACTACCTGGGGGCATCTGTCCAGTAAGAGCATAGCGTACACATTCTATAATAGTTGTTTTTCCACAGCCATTCTGTCCCAAAATTAATGTTAATGGCCTTTCAAAAGATATACGTTGTTCATCATTATCTTCTGGCCCAAAACTTCTTATACCCCTGACAGCAAGCGATTTTATACCAGCCATACTTCTTTATTTAAATACTACTATCATAAGCAATCGTAAGCGTATACGACGAACAAACATTCCTTGTAAATACCAAAGTTTATAAAAACTTCCGCGCCGCCGCCGAAAACGAAACACCGAAAGACTTTTGACTTTGAAAGATGTGTCAAACTGACAAACCTTGAC